CTGTTGCGGCCTCTCCTGTTGCGGAGCACAGACTCCGGATGCGCAGGCTCAGCGGCCATGGCTCACGGGCCTAGCCGCTCCGCGGCACGTGGGATCTTCCCAGACCGGGGCACGAACCCTTGTCCCCTGCATCGGCAGGCGGACTCTCAACCACTGGGCCACCAGGGAAGCCCCCTGCCTGTATCTTTAAAGGATGAAAATTCCTACCTGAAAGAAGATGCCCTGATATGCAACCAAAAACTTCCAGTATGTTCTTACCACTTATCCCATCTCACCCTTATAGAGTGAGATTGCGGGGCAGGGGGCAGGAGTCCCTCCTTTTACAGTGTACCTATAACAAATGCAGGATGATTCATAAAGAATTGAACACTTCTGAAAATGTATTCCAGTATGTATATGTTACTTCAGTAGAGTTACACCATGCAACTTTTTAAAGAACTTTGTGTTTTTGCCATCTCTTTCTGGCAGCCCTGAAGGTTAAGAAGTTACACATCCTGGCTGCCACACTTTTATCACTGATAATAGTAAATTCTAACAGGTCTGGGATGAATTATGTCACAAAGGATACATATTATACACTTGTAAGATTATAGAAATAGTTGTGATAGTTCCATTACGCACTACTTAATGAGTAATCGATTTTTGAAAATGTTTTATTCTTTTTGAATCACTCTAAATGTATTGTTCTACTGTGTGTAAGGAACTGCTAGATTCTTTCCTGCCCTCTCCTCTTCCCTGAACACTCACAAACTCTGGTTTGGGGCTACAAGGCTTGCTGGTTCTTGCAGCCATTGTTTCCCCACCCCATGTTGTCAACATCATTCACAAACATTTATCAGGCAGCCACTGGCTACGGAAACAGTGAACACAAACAAGGAACTGTGAAAGAAAATATCTAAACAAGCCTGTGCTCAGCTGTCCAGAGGGCTCAAGATGTAGTTATGATAAGAAGTATCATCAAGAAGCAATCAAGGGCTTCCCTGGTGGCGCAGTGGTTGAGAGTCCGCCTGC